AAAAAAGCCCCACAAAATCATGACAATCGAGTTGGTTACTGTATTTGTGTGTCACAGTCTGTGTTTTGGGGAAATAACAGAAATAGTTGATTATTAATTTAAATCACACACCAGAAATGAGACTAAAAATCAGGCTGGAGGGCGACAAAAACAGTCCACCGTGGACATCACCCAAAATCAAAGTATAAGCAGCCCTGACTGGATTAAAGGGGGGATTATCACAGCAGGACTCTGGGCAACTGGATGGAGAAGATCAACGGATAGTTTTGACTGGGCTCTTAAAATTGCTGGCGGCCTGAAGCTGCAGCTGGTAAGCCATAGGGTGGATCTTGAATCCATAGAGTCTGAAACAGAAAAGCATAAGGGTTAAAATGACAATGGGAAGGCAGTGTGGAAAGCCCTGTTCAAATGGCTACCAAATATTTTTGCTAAAATGTTGGATTCCAAAATTAATGCCTATTAATAACATATCAGTGACAGTCGGGAATGCTAGATCCTTCTAAGAAAAGTCTTAGACCTGGATATAAGGAGCAGGAGAGTCTCATACTGTATCTACATATCTTCTGGAGGGAAAGGTTGGCAAAGGAGTTCTTAGGACAGCAAAACAAACAAACAAAGTAGAGCATCATTCTGTAATTCTACTGTCTAGATAGCTGGAGATCAAGATGTGAAAAAAATTAAGCCCTGCTCCATCTTAAGAGCAAGGATAGCCAAAATTCCACATCTATAAACAGGGACATGGGCCAAGTAAAAGTGTGGATTGTGCTGTCTCAAGGCATGCTTAGAAAATATGGTAATTAACTCTATGCAAATCCCTTACATCTGAATTACATGAAATGATATGCTTTCCAACATGCCCAAGGCTGCATAAGCTTCAGGGCAAGTCAACAGTTCAGAGGCAGCACACACCATCCTAAAAGATGTTTCACTGAGCCCCACCTGCATCAATCTATATTCAGTGTTCCCTCGCTACTTCACAGTTCGCTTTTAGCGGATTTGCTGTTTTGCAGTTTTCAAAAAATATTAATTTAAAATCTATATGCTGTATTTTCGCTGTTTCACAGGTTTTTGCCGCCACTGCTCTCCGAAGCACTTTCCCTCCTCAGTTCTCACTCCCTCCCTCCAGCCTTGAAGGGCCTTTCCTTCATTTTATTTTAAGTTTATAAAGACTTAAAATAGTGTATGACTACTAAAATAATGTAGAAATATCAAAATAAATATAGCGTCCCTATATTGCAGTTTTTCACTTATTGCAGGAGGTCTTGGAACATAAACCCCACAATAAGTGAGGGAACACTGTAAATAAAAATGTAATATTCATTTGTGGGATTAACATGGACGAATTGACACCAAATTCGGACATAATACCAACGAGTGACCATCACTTATAAAAACACTGCAAAACACAGCAGAAGAGACTTTAAAAGCCAAAAATTAAAAAAAAAATACAACACATGCACAAAACCACATATATATATACGTAAACACACGTATATACACATATACACAAACATATACACAAAGCACATATACACAGACTGGACAGCAGCAATGTGTGGCAGGGGACGGCTAGTTTCAAATAAATTCTAAGGTTGCATCTACACTGTGAAATTAACAAGTTTTTATACTATTTAAACTACCAAGGTTCAATGCTGGGAACTGTACTTTTACAAGGTATTTAGCCTTCTGTGCCAAAGAGTGTTGGTGCCTCACCAAACTATAGGCGCCTCAAGTGGTGCAATGGGCTAAACCCTTGTGCCAGCAGGACTGCTGACCAAAAGACTGGTGGTTTGAATGTGAGGAGTGGGGTGAGCTATCTGACAGTTCCAGCTTCTCATTCGGGGACATGAGAGAAGCCTCCCACAGAATGGTAAAACATCCAGACGTCCCCTAGGCAAGATCCTTGCAGACGGCCAATTCTCTCACACCAGAAGCAACTTGCAGTTTCTCAAGTCGCTCTTGACATTAAATAAACAAACAAACAAGCTGTAAATCCCAAGATTCCAGAGCATTAAACCATGGCAGTTAAAGTGATATCAAACTACATTCATTCTACAGTGTAGATCCCTTTCAACCTTCTCACTAAACGAAGGTGGATACTGGAAGTTTACACACAGGTGCAGCAACCTCTACAGGCATCTTTGAATTTGAAATATTAAAAGAGAAATGAATGAATTGGCTGAAAGTGGCCCAGTGAAAAGACAAACCTGCTTTCAAGCGTCCTTTCATCATTTTTATTTTTCTCTTCCAATCTTTTTGAATAAAAGGCAACAAGATGCCACACACAAATCTAACCTTCCTCAAACTTATTAAATAGCCAAAAACATCATACTAAAAAACTAAGAGATTGTGATTGGGATTTAGCACTTTTTTGAAAGCCAACAGAGAAAAACCAATCAGAACCTTGGATACACTATATTACACAATCTGGAAAGCAAGGAAAGAAAACCCCTCCAGCATGTTGTGCGAATGACTCTTGAAAAACAATGGTATACCTTTCCTGCTCTTAAGAATCAAATAGCCTTATAATTAGGCAGCTGGTCTCTTATACAAACCTAATACAAGTTAAACTCTGGCACTGAATCCAGTAAATAACTGACCACAAGTGCAGCTCCTTCAGGACTGCTGTAAGAGGGATTCAACATTTTTCACCAGTCAGCAGTCTCAATCATTTTGCATCAACTAAAACTTCTCTGAGGTCCCTTCCACACAGCCATATAACCCAGAATATCAAAACAGAAAATTCCACAATATCTGCTTTGAACTGGGTTATCTGTGTCCACACTGCCATATACTCCAGTTCAAAGCAGATAATATGGGATTTTATTCAGCTGTGTGGAAATAGTCCAAAAACAATACAAAAGTGGTCCTTGGTCATGTTTTACAGCAGGAAAGAAAAACCTAAACCTCTAATAACTGTCTTCTGGATCATGTACAAATAACATTGCTTGGAAAGTTCTTACCTGGGCACAAACTGGTTGGCTGGCCGCTTCGGCCGATACTCGGGGTGCACCATGAACAACATGTGAGGGAAGCCAGTCCCAAAATAGGCCCCATCTGTATGATGGTGGCGGGAAGACTTGGGGGTATAGACATCCATGCACTTAGGGCAGTACAGTTTGACCATAGCTTCACCTGGGATATCAGATAAGCCTAAGAGTGAAAAAAAACAGAAACTCTGAAATGAAGCCAGGAAATATGGACTTCTAAGGACAAAACTACCAAAACCACTTCTAGCATCCCAGTTGTGGTGGGCTGATAAGCTTTTTAAATGGCAAAACAGCATCACTGGAAAATTTATTAATTTACTTACTTACTTACTTACTTACTTACTTACTTACTTACTTACTGTATTTATATACCGCCTTTCTCAGCCAATTGGCAACTCAAGGCAGTTTCCAACAAATCAGTATACATAAAACATAATATAGATAAAAACATTGAGCAATATAAGACATCATAAAAAACAATAAAAGCGATATCATCAGCGTCTCATTATTCTCAAGCATTGTCCAATTCCATTGTCAGGTCATTCGATTTCCTATATTAGCTACTCTGTATTTGTAAATTGCTCGAATAGCCACGTTTTAACTTGCCTCCGAAACGTCAAGAGGAAGGGAGCAGATCTGATCTCCCTAGGGAGGGCGTTCCATAGTCAAGGGGCCACCACTGAGAAGGCCCTGTCTCTCGTCCCCGCCAAACGTGCTTGTGACAAAGGCGGAACCAAGAGCAGGGACTCCTCAGATGATCTTAAAGTCCTCAGTGGTTCATAAGGGGAGATGCTTTCGGACAGGTAAGTTGGACCAGAACCGTTTAGGGCTTTATAGGCCAAAGCCAGCACTTTGAATTGGGCCCGGTAGCAAACTGGCAGCCAGTGGAGCTGGCGCAACAAGGGGTTGTATGCTCCCTGAGCACCGCTCCTGTTAACAACCTGGCTGCCGTTCGTTGGACTAGTTGAAGCTTCTAGACCGTCTTCAAAGGCAACCCCACATAGAGAGCGTTCAGTAGTCTATACGGGATGTAACCAGAGTGTGGACTACTGTGGCCATATAACTTGTATTCAAAAATCCCTACCTTAAGTATTGATCGTCACAATTATTATTTGCATTGATTTAATGTTTTGTAAACTCCTCAGTAATTCTAGAATGCATTTCAACTTTATAACCCTTCTAGTAGCTCCCAACTCCCTGCTTCTCAGAACAAATACTCACCAATGGGCAGCATGGGCTGGTTCTCACAATAAACCCGGGGACAGTAGCCAAAATCTCCTTGCTGGTATTTTTCAAGCTAAGAAGAACAAAAAGTGTCAGAAACAGAAAATAGACTATGTAAAGTGGAACGATGTAAGACCAAATGCTACTGCTTGGTTCAGGAGGTCAATTTGAAGCACATGATCTATCTTTGGTTAGCTAAACTTGCCTTCAAAAGTATGTACTGGCAGGGGTTCAAAGGGGCCTTCTCCCTTCAGTTTCATTCCCTCTAGTCTGGGTGTGACTGCCTCAGAACATTTAGGAATGCATCACAGGGCAACTACTAAAAGAAGGAAAAGGCTTACCATTTGCGCAATGCCACGGTTTGTGAGAATATAGCGGGCATGGATGAGCCCATAGAGCATTTCAGCTGCCTGCTCAATCAAGTCACTCTGATTGGGATTGTCCTCAAGCTCTTCATCTGTTGAGGAAAGAAAGAAGTAAAAACACATAAGGGAAAAACAGACTGTACCTTAGAACAATACCAAATAAACTAAAAGTCATGTGTGACTTTATATTGATTAATCAGTTTATACAGAACTATCAACATCTTAAAACTCGAATATAATTTATCTGCAAACAGATTAACAGAGCTGCTTTGTCATAGAAATGTTGCTAGGAATGAAATCCCTATGTAATTCCACCACTAAAGAAACATCTGAGAGTCAACACCAAGGAATACCACAGTAATAATACTATGTGAGATCTTAGACAGGCCCCTACATTGGCAGTCTTTAGAAAGAACTTGAAGACCTGGCTGTTCCAATGTGCCTTTCCAGAATAGGAATCTCCAACAAGTCCCAGAAGCACTTTATTAGAAATTAAGATTGCTGCACACTGCACTTACCCTTTAATCCTTACATATCACCTGTCACATCAGCACTTTTAATCCTGTACCCATTACTCTGGCCCGGCCCAGTTTATTTTATTGTGTTTTAGTGTATTGTTATTGCCTGTTGCTTATTATGCTTTATTGTTTTAATTTGCTTAGGTTTTGTATTGTTATATTGTGTATTGAGGCCTTGGCCTTTGTAAGCCGCATCGAGTCCTTCGGGAGATGCTAGCGGGTACAAATAAAGATAATAATAATAATAATAATAATAATAATAATAATAATACTATACGAGTATAAATATTCCTACTTATATTTGACAATACGACCTAAACACAAAACATATATTATACTTCTTAAAAATAAGATTGTATATCTTAGAAATCAACTACAGAAACCTTAGAGCAATGGTTCTCAACCTGTGGGTCCCCAGATGTTTTGGCCTTCAACTCCCAGAAATCTTAACAGCTGGTAAACTGGCTGGGATTTCTTGGGAGTTGTAGGCCAAAACACCTGAGGACCCACAAGTTGAGAACCACTGCCTCAGAAGGAAGTCTGCAGCATTTCTCAAAAGTATTAAAACAAGAAGATGACAAAACTGAATGAAATAAAATCAGATACCTCAGTGCTTAATATGCCTATCTTGTAGCTAAAAACACAAATCCCAACTTTTTGGGGAAAGTGAAACATAAGTAAACTAATATGGCACAAGGTAATACAAGATTCTGAAATTTCTAATGTGATATCATTCAAAACAGAAAATGTAACTGGATGAATAATTTGTATCGCTCTGACTCCTTGAAAATTATTTACTATTCTCAAACAAGTGTCAAAATCTTTACTTCTAATTCCACAAAAACTAATGTCAGAGCAGAAAGTCTTGGATAGCACTTCAATTTTCTGAGTGCTGTACAGTAATATGTCCACATGTGATACAGACCAACCCAGAAAGCAGAAGACTGGACTGCTTTAGAGTGACAGTTAGCTGCCAAGCAGGAGCACCTTTTAGTGTAATTATATGCTTCCCCTGCATTTTATTATGGTGACATAAAAGCGTATCTACATAAAAGAAATCCCAAAATACTTTACAGTAAATCCTAGGCTGGTAAAAGAGCCACCTCAATCAGGGATATACATTCCCCTCTCATTCTGGCTCTGCACACCTCTAAAGCTCTCTCTGCTCAGCCATTTTATACCTGCAGTGCTAAGCATGCCAAATATCGACATGAATATGGATCACACACACTCAAAACACACACCTCTTCATGTACAGAACTAATTTCCCAATGAAGTCAACCATACATGGAGGGCATAGCCAGTATATCCATAAAGATGACAAAACACATTTGACCAGAAGCTACTGAAAATGGCTTGTGATACTGACAGGTGCCAAATATCTGAACAGGGGCAACAATTACTTCCATATTGTATGGATACCGGTAGTCCTAAGAAGCAAAAAATTCAAACAAAGAAGAAAGGCTGTGACAACTCACCAGGTTCCAAGTCAAGAATCATATCCAAAGCTTGACGATAGTGGGGAACTTGCTCATTGAGACCAGTTAAGTTGAACTTGTCTTGGATGTAGTCCTCATCCACCTAGAAGAAGAAACAGAACACTTCAGTTAACCAGAATGCATGCAACTGGAACTCTCAAGCAACCATACAAATCTTAAAAAGCAATTATTCAAATAAATAAATAACATCATTTTTATAAAACAGCAAAATTGTGTGGCATTACGCAAATTTTGTTTTTATTTTTAATTTGACTTCCATTGCTTTAGTGCTATAGTATGAGGTATAGTATTATTAGGACTATATTTAATAGTAATTCTTAAGCAATCAAACACTACATTTATCTGGAATCTGCCAAACCCCATGAGTGCTGCTTAATTGAGAACGTACTTTATATAGTCGGCAAATTCCAGAATGAACACGAGTAGTTATTATGACTGCTGACATCCCTTCAGTTTCAAAAATATCTTCCAAGAACTATTTCCTGAAGAACTCCACAATTTTAACTAACTTGTGAGACTGTTTTCACAGGGATCCTTGTACAATGCCAAGCCCTTCTTCACTGCATATCCCAGGCTCTATATTTAATAGAATCTTGAAAAGGTAGACCTTCCAACCTCCCAGCCCCACATGCACCTCGTGCGGGTGCCTCTTCCCCACTCACCTCGCAGAAGAACTCATTGCCACGCAAGCCACAGAACCAGGAAATCCAGGAAACCTCTTCAGAGCTACTCATCTTCCCGCCCTCTGGAAACAAGGAGAGAAATAAACAACCACACTTTCACCATGACTCACCTGGCTATTCTCCCTGCTTACCCTGAAACTAACTCTGTGAAAGGATTCTCTAGAAGTCCTGCTCCACAGGTGCAGTTTTCAGCGGCTTTGCCCGTTATGTACCAACTAAAGGCTTGCTGTATACATACCAGAGACAGAGAACTCCCAAACCTTGGCCCCATCTATACTGCCATATAATGTAATTTGTAACCGCATTACAGGGTCAGTGCAGATTCATATAATGCAGTTCAGTGCAGTGAAACAGTATTATCTGAGTTTACACCAGGCATGGGCAAACTTGTTTTGGACTTCAACTTCCACAATTCCTAACAGTCTTAGGCCCTTTGCTTTTTCCCCTTAAGTGGCTGAGGGGGGAAAGGAAGGGGCCTGAGGCTGTTAGGAATGATGGGAGTTGAAGTCCAAACACCTGGAGGGCCCAATTTTGCCCATGTTAATTTTATTTATGGTATCAGGAGTGAACCAAGGGTACAGCTGTAACCTATTTAAAAAACACACAAAGTTTTAAAACTTGGCATTATAGTAATTGTAAATCCATATATCTATATCTCAGTTAATATATATCAAAATTTTCTTCTGTATTAAATCTATCTATCTATCTATCTATCTATCTATCTATCTATCAAACCTACAACCCTTCCGGTGATCCCAGGTGTGGTCTGTCGGCCAGGGCCAGAACTTTTCCATCGGTTAGAGGGCATCCTGCCTTGTTCCGTTTTACTCAGGACTCTTATTTTCTCTGCTCCGCAATTTACACTAGAGGTAACATTTGCTGGGTTTTGAGTTGTTATTTCTCGACATCTCTGGAAAACCAGGCTAGGAGAACATACAAGTTGATCAACCTTGTCGTTGACCAAGGAACATCTCAAAAGGCCTCCCGAGTGTCCCCTTGCTGTCCCCTTTTCCTCTTCCTTCCCTAGTGTCAACGTTGCCCCCAAATACAATTTTCCAGCTCAATTACAAAGGCCACAGCCTCCCAAGGTTGGAACACCAAGTCCGACCAGTCAAAGACGATGGCCACCTTTTGCTAAGTCTCTTTGGTCAAAGGGCAGTCCCTGACGAAATGCTCAGTGGTCTCCAGAGGCTCACTTCCAGCAACACAAACTTGTTTCTAGCACAGAAGTCTAGGACAAACTTGTTCTTTTTCTTTCAGCCACAGTTGGTTGCTTTTTTTTTTTTTTCCTTTTTTCTTTCTTTCTTTCTTTCTTTCTTTCTTTTTTTTTTTCTTTTTTTTTTTTTTTTTTTTTTTTTTTTTTGTGCTACAGTACTTATTTATTTATCATGTCAGGAGCGAACCAAACACTTGTATTGTATTTTTAAAAACACAAAAAGTTTGCAAACTTGGTATTCTATTAAATGTCCTTTGACCAGTAGCTGGCCACTTGGAGTGCCTTTGGTGTTGCTATAAGAAGATCCTCCATTGTGCACGTGGCAGGGCTCAGGTTGCATTGTAGTAAGTGGTCTGTGGTTTGCCCTTCTCGACACTTGTCATGTCGTGGACTCTACTTTGTGGTTCTGTACCTCGTGGTGCCAGAGCGCAGTCTGTTCAGCGCCTTCCCATAATAATAATATAATAAACTTTATTTGTTACCCCGCCACCATCTCCCCGATGGGGACTCGGAGCGGCTTACATGAGGCCAAGCCCAAATGACAATTACAATAAAGAAAAACCAAAAACACAAACCGAAAACGCAATAGTGTTGTGATAGTGTTGACATAAAACAAATGAATACATAACAATATACAAATTACAATATGCACAGGCACAGTAATAATGGGCAGGCTACATGTAGTGATTAAAAAGACAAAGTAATTAAAACTAATTAAAAACTCGGGCGAGATAAAAGAGAGAAGCAGGTAATTTACGGAAGAGGGCTCATTTTAGCGGGAGTTGTGGAATCAAGCTTTCCCATGAGGGGGAGGGGACGTATACTCTAATGTCAAAGCTTTGAGGTCGAGCAATCATGTAGGATTATATACCTACTCATCAAAGGTGGACTATCCCTGTGTTCTCACCATAAAATAAAGGTAAAGGTAGTCCCCTGACATTAAGTCCAGTCATGTCTGACTCTGGGGTGTGGTGCTCATCTCCATTTCTAAGCCGAAGAGCCAGCGTTGTCCGTAGACACCTCCAAGGTCATGTGGCCGGCATGACTGCATGGAGCGCCGTTACCTTCCCACCGGAGCGGTACCTATTGATCTACTCACATTTGCATGTTTTTGAACTGCTAGGTTGGCAGAAGCTAGGGCTGACAGCAGAAGCTCACGCCGCTGTGTTTGAGACCTTGGCCTGTGTAAGCCGCATCGAGTCCTTCGGGAGATGCTAGCGGGGTACAAATAAAGTTTAATAATAATAATAATAATAATAATTAAAAACTTGAGCGAGATAAAAGAGAGAAGCAGATAATTTATGGAGGAGGGCTCATTTTAACGGGAGTTGTGGAATCAAGCTTTCTGTGTGCCCAGGAGGAAGTCTCTCATTTGGTATCAGCCATGAATTGAGGTTCTGAGTTTTGAGCCTGCCACTTTTGGACTCTCGCTTGCTGAGGTGTTCCAGCGAGTGTCTCTGTAGATCTTAGAAAACTATTTCTTGTTTTAAGTCATTGGCCTGTAGAGTCATCCAACGCAATTCAGCACAGTTACACCACATTGTGTTGTTGAAGGCTGGCATCACTGGGTTGCTGTGAGTTTTTCGGGCTGTATGGCCATTTTGGAACGAATTATATGATTTGACTCTAACCCTATAATGCATTATGTGGCAGTGCGGATGGGGCCTAGGGTTTGGGGAGGTTGTCTGTCTCTGCTTCCTGTGTTTCGAACCGCCTTATATGGTAATGCAAATGAGGCCTCAGGCCTTTCTGCTTGAGCTGAGCCCTTTCTCCCTCCATGGAAATGAGAAGCAGCAGCTTCACCACTATGCGTACCCTTTGGCCACAAACATGAGACCGGCACGCAGCACTTCTTCCCCTTCCTATGCCTTCCCCAAACACAGCCTCCCGGAAGCTTGAATCCCACCCCACCCCTCTCTCTTTCCCGAGGAGCAACTACCCCCCAATAACTCACCCCAGGGGGCAAAACTGCCTCAAGGAGAGGAAGCCGGGGCCGCAAACAAGCTTCGGACCTCTAAGGCCTCGGCCAGCTTCAACCGCGCATGCGCCACTGCCGCTGGCAGCGAGGCATCGCGGGACTGTAGTTCTTTGGCGCCAAGAAAGCGCAGGGGAACAAGGGAAGAGGGACTCCAAGCCCCAGAGTGCAACGGGAAAGGAAGTTCAAAGGCAGGGGCTGGGCCGCAGGGCGCGCTGGGAAGTGGAGTCCAAATGACCTTTAAGTCCTCTCGGCTTCAAAAGATATTGGTATATTCTGAAACTACAACTCCCAGACTGCAAATGAAAGGCGCTTAAGGGCCCTTCCGCACAGCCCTAGCTTAAAGAATATCAAGGCAGAATATCCCACGTTATCTGCCTTGAACTGGAAAATATGTCACTGTGGACTCAAGAGTTCAAACTGATTTTCTGGGGACCCTTCCACACAGCCCTATATCCCAGAATATCAAGGCAGAAAATCCCACATTATATGAGTGTGGACTCATATAACCCAGTTCAAAGCAGATATTGTTACCTATCCGATTGCATCTCCGCCTACGAACCCACTAGGACTTTGAGATCTTCCGGGGAGGCCCTGCTCTCGATCCCGCCTGCAACACAGGCACGGCCGGCGGGGACGAGAGACAGGGCCTTCTCGGTGGTGGCCCCTCGGCTGTGGAACGCCCTTCCCACGGACATTAGATTGGCTCCCTCATTGATGGTATTCCGGAGAAAAGTGAAAACCTGGTTATTTGAACAGGCGTTTGAATAGGCAGTGCAATGAATTCAGGAAATGGAACTACGATTGACGAGTTTGGATCATGATTCTAGTTATGAGACGCCACTTGAATGTTTGCTACTGTTTAATTGTTTAGTCTGCTTCTGTGTTAACCATTTTTAAATACCTTGTTGATGCCGCATTGAATTTTTGCTTTGATTGTTTTGCCTTGTGTTGCTTTGCTTGATTGTTGTTAACCGCTGTGAGTCGCCTTAGGGCTGAGAATAGCGGTATACAAATGAAGTAAATAAATAAATAAATAAATTTGATGGATGGCAAACTATTCAGAATAAGGTGTTATGGCAATGCAGGCTGCCCTCAGAGGGCTATGGCCCTTCCACACAGTCCTATATCCCTGAATATCAAGGCAGGAAATCCCACATTTTCTGTTTTGAACTGGAATATATGGCAGTGTGGACTTGGATAACCCAGTTCAAAGCAGATATGGTGGGATTTTCTGCCTTGATATTCTGGGTTATAGGGCTGTGTGGAAGAGCCCTGGATTATATTGCAGTGTAGATTCAGATAATCCAGTTTAACACAAATAATGTGGATTTTCTGATTTGATAATCTGGATTATATGGCAGTGTAGAAGGGGCCTAAAAGCGCTGCACTAGACCATTATTGTTTAAATCAGGGGTCCTCAGACTTTTTAAACAGAGGGCCAAGTCACAGTCCCTCAAACTGTTGGAGGGTCGGATTATAATTTGAAAAAAACCCCGAATGAATTCCTATGCACACTGCACACATCTTATTTGAAGTGCAAAAAAAAAAACTTAAAAATATACAATAATTAAAACGAAGAACCATTTTAACAAATATAAACTTATTAGGATTTCAGTGGGAAGTGTGGGTGTGCTTTTGGCTGATGAGATAGAATTGTTGTTGTTGTTGTGTACTTTCAAGTAATTTCAGACTTAGGTTGACCCTGAGCGAGGGCCGGGTAAATTACCTTGGAGGGCCATATTCGGGCCCCGGGCCTTAGTTTGAGGACCCTTGGTTTAAATTGTGGGTCCCAAGCCCAAATGGGGCCCTCTGCTCAATGTTGAGGTCCAGAAAATTCGGCTAACTGTAATCTAGTGGTTGTTTTAGACATTTATACAAATTTTCTCTGCAATGTTTACTGTGGACTCTACTGTAAATGCTTCAGTTGTTCTTCATAAAAAGGAAAATAAGCCTGCATAGCAAACCTTGCATGTGCTGATTTGTTATTATTATTTATTTCTATACCTATTTCATATACCCGAGGTCACATGATTTTTTAGGGGTTAGAAAAGGGTCACAAGTGGGGAAAAGGTTCAAAGAAGCTCTGCACTAGGACCTAACAAATTCTTAGGGCCCTTCCATACAGCCCTATATCTCAGAGTATCAAGGCAGAAAATGCCACAATACCTGCTTTGAACTGGGTTATCTGAGTCCACACTCAGATAAGGTGGGATTTTCTGCCTTGATATTCTGGGAGATAGGGCTGTGTGGAAGGGCCTTTAGAGAGAACATTTCTCTGAGAATCAGTGTCCTTTATCACAAATCTATGGTTTGAAGGGACTAGAAATAAGGTAACACTGTATAACAACATTTGAAACATTGTGTTCCCATGTTGTAGAAGGCTTTCATGGCCAGAATCGCTGGGTTGCTGTGAGTTTTTTGGGCTGTATGGCCATGTTCCGGCTGCATTCTCTCCTGACGTTTCGCCTGCATCTGTGGCTGGCATATTCAGAGGTCTGTTGGTGGTGAGGCAAGTGGAGTGTAATAATGTCCAGGGTGAGAGAAATAACCCTTGTCAGTTTAAAAAACACCAGAATCAAGACAGTAAATAAGGAACACCATTCAGAAACTGGGGAGCTCCAGACACCAAACAATCATGTGCCAGTTGACAACTCCCAAATAGAATCATAGAATCAAAGAGTTGGAAGAGACCTCATGGGCCATCCAGTCCAACCCCCTGCCAAGAAGCAGGAATATTGCATTCAAATCACCCCTGACAGATAGCCATCCAGCCTCTGTTTAAAAGCCTCCAAAGAAGGAGCCTCCACCACACTCCGGGGCGGAGAGTTCCACTGCTGAACAGCTCTCACAGTTAGGAAGTTCTTCCTAATGTTCAGGTGGAATCTCCTCTCCTGTAGTTTGAAGCCATTGTTCCCCGTCCTAGTCTCCAGGGAAGCAGAAAACAAGCTTGCTCCCTCCTCCCTGTGGCTTCCTCTCACATATTTATACATGGCTATCATATCTCCTCTCAGCCTTCTCTTCTTCAGGATAAACATGCCCAGCTCTTTAAGCCGCTCCTCATAGGGCTTGTTCTCCAGACCCTTGATCATTTTAGTCACCCTCCTCTGGACACATTCCAGCTTGTCAATATCTCTCTTCAATTGTGGTGCCCAGAATTGGACACAATATTCCAGGTGTGGTCTAACCAGAGCATAGAGGGTGTCTCCAGGTACAAAGCCCTGGTTACCTCTATGCAGATACCGTCACTGATTGACTATGCATTTTTATGGCTACCCAGTACTATTCGAGCTTGCTAACTGCAGCATTCATACTTTAAACAGACAAGGGCTCTTTCTTCCACCCTGGACATTCCACATACACTCCACTTGCCTCACTGCCAGCAGACCTCTGAAGATGCCAGCCATAGATGCAGGCAAAACATCAGGAGAGAATGCACCTGGAACATGACCATACAGCCTGAAAAATACACAGCAACCAAAGTGCTATTTCCTGTTTAATTGTGTGGCACTTACATCCTTTGAAAGGAGGTGTTACACTCCAGAAACTTCCATTTTTGTGGCTGCCACAAAATGTTGAATTGATTGAGACTCAATTTTCATTGAAAAACTATTGCAAAATGTGCTGCAGGATGTCCCTCCCACAAAAACAAAGTTTTTGCAGTTTAACAAACTTTTCCTATGTTTTTATGATAGAACCAATTAGGAAATGACATTTATAATCCAGGAACAGAAATTGTGTTACACATAGGAGAAAAAACTCTTGTCTGTTTGGAGCAAATGTGAATGTTGCAATTAGCCAGCTTGATTAGCATTGAGTTGCCTTGCAGTTTCAAAGTCTTGCTGTTGTTGTCCAGGAGCATCCTTTGTTTGTGAGGTGTTAGCTGGCACTTGATTTCTTGATGTCTGGGGTTTCCCTGTTTTTGAGTGGTGTTCCTTATTTACTGTTTTGATACTGGTAATCAGATTTTGTTCATTATCATGGTTTCCTCCTTTCTGTTGAAGTTGCCCACATATTTGGGGATTTCAATGACTTCTCTGTGTGGTCTGACATGGTTGTTGTTGTTATTATTATATTTATACCCTGCTTTAACTCTTCAAAGGGGACTCAGAGTGGTTCAGCAGAGTGTTTGTCAGAGTGACCTGCCATTTCTCAAATATTATCCTGTGTCCAGGTTGTTTCATGAAATGCTCTGCTATAGCTGACTTATCTGGTTGAATGGCTTTCATGATCTTTGATCTGGGCAATGCTACGTTTGGTGGTCCCTGTGTAGACTCATCTACAGCTGCACATCCACAGCTGCAGGTATATGGTAAAATCTCATTAAAATATCTTTTTTTAGAGATTTTAATGAGATTTTAAGGACTTAATATGTATGGACTATTTGGATTGTATTATGTCTTTTTGTTTTTTATAGTTTGTCCATGATTTGTTTATATATTACGGTCAGCACTGAATGCTTACCACTATGTTTATTTTGCTGTAAGCTGCCCTGAGTCCCTTCAGGGACATAGTTTAATTTCAATTCATTTCACCTGCAGTGGTTAGAGGATCCCTCGTATCCTTTGCTGAATGTAGAATTTGTTGCATTTTCTTGGTGGGTCTGTAGATTGATTGTAGGTTGTGTTTCTTCATCAGCTTCCCTATGTGGCCAGTGGTTCCCTCTGTTTAAGGAGCTCCATTGGCTGCCGTTTACCTACCGAACCCAATTCAAGGTGCAGGTGCTTACCTACAAAGCCCTAAACGGTTTGGGACCTGCCTACCTGCGTGACCGCATCTCCGTTTATGAACCCACGCGCTCCCTTCGTTCATCCGGAGAGGCCCTGCTCGCGATCCCACCTGCGTCGCAGGCGCGTTTGGTGGGGACGAGGGACAGGGCCTTCTCTGTGGTTGCCCCCCGACTTTGGAACACCCTCCCCAAAGACATTAGACTAGCACCCACGTTGGCAGTCTTTAGGAAGACTTGAAGACCTGGCTATTCCGATGTGCCTTTCCAGAATAGGATAACCCCCAGCACTATGTCCCAGAAGCACTTTATTAGAGTTTAGGACTCTGCACATTGCACTTGCCCAGAATCCCAACATACCTACTGTCACACCCAGCACTTTCTAACCTGTACCCATCACTGGCCCGGCCCTGGTTTTTATTGCGCAATGGTGTAATGTTTTGTTCTTGCTTATGTTTTTAATTTGCTGTGTATTGTATTGCTATTGTTTGCTGTTGTTGTGTTGAGGCCTTGGCTTTTGTGGGCCATCGAGTCCTTTGGGAGATGCTAGTGGGGTACAAATAAAGTTTAATAATAATAATTATTAATAATAATAATGTATGGTAAGAATACTTTTCCTCTGCATGGATCTTTGTCTTTACTTTCGTGGCTTGTTCTTGGTCTTGCAGCTCTTCTGATGTCTGTTGTAGACATCTCCAAGAGTCTCGACCAATTCAACATAGTTTGCGGCAGCCACAAAAACAAAGTTTCTGGAGTATAACAACTACTTTCAAAGTAAGTAACGCACAATTAAACAGGAATAACACTTTCAAACCAGGAACAGTATTTTTTTCCCCCTTCCAAATGTTGTTATACGATTAGACTCGGCCACAATGGATCGCCAATGATGACGTGCCAGGAATTTTCTTGCAATTTACCATCCTTGATGCTGGTGCTGCTTCGCCGGCTCATTCTGTCAGCAGTGCCCGCTCTCAGCATGGCCGTCACTGTTCACATTTAAAAGCAAAGAAAATCCAAATATTAATTTGACTAAATCAGTTACAGCTTGACAGATTTGAATCCAAACTGGTTATAATCTTGTTAATGGTGTTTTACAGGCTATATTAAAAATACTATCAGCCTACAGGCATTAGTGGATACATAGTGGGGCATGTTTATTGTTTCCCCCTCCTTCTAAATGTCTACCTCTCTTTTTAATGGCTGCAGCTCCATTAGAGCGCCTGAATGGGAGGAAAGCCCAAGAGCTGTCAAAGGGAAGCGCGCGCGGTATGCAAATGAGGGCAACGGTTGTAAAAAAAACGCTTAGTCAACAGAAACGCCTCGCGCTGGGTGAAGGCAGGGAGGCGCATGCGTGCTCTCCTCAGCGTGCGCGCGCACGCTTATTTTTCCCCCGCCCCTCTCGCGCTCAACCACCTGGAACTTAGCTACTGCGCATGCGTCGCTTTCTTGCTTGTTCTCAGAGTACCCCTGTTTGGGATTGGTAGTTTGGGACGCTCTGGTGTTCCGCCTGCTTCCAGCTCTATGGTAAAGCGGACTTCCGGTATTCTGCAAAGTATCCAGGAAGGAGGAAGGTGAGTACTTCAACTTTGTCGCTAGTATCCTTCCCTCCAATGAGCAGCCGGGCTTTATTTCCTGGAGGATGGACTGGTTGGATCTTCTCGCAGTCCAAGGCACTCTCAGAACTTTCCTCCAACACCACAGTTCAAAAGCATCTATCTTCCTTCGCTCAGCCTTCCCTAAGGTCCAGCTCTCACATCCGTAGGTTACTACAGGGAATACCATGGCTTTGACTAGGCGGATCTTTGTTGCCAGTCTGATGTCTCTACTCTTTACTATTTTATCGAGACTGGACATTGCTCTCCTCCCAAGAAGTAAGCGTCTTCTGATTTCCTGGCCGCAGTCTGCATCTGCAGTAATCTTTGCACCTAGAAATACAAAGTCTGTCACGGCCTCCACATTTTCTCCCTCTATTTCCCAGTTGTCAATCATTCTTGTTGCCATAATCTTGGTTTTTTTTTATGTTTAGCTGCAACCCAGCTTTTGCGCTTTCTTCTTTCACCTTGATTAGAAGGCTCCTCAGCTCCTCCTCGCTTTGCCATCAGAGTGGTGTCATCTGCATATCTGAGGTTGTTAATGTTTCTTCCAGCAATTTTCACCCCAGCTTTGCATTCATCCAGCCCCGCACATCGCATGATGTGTTCTGCATACAAGTTAAAAAGGTTGGGTGAGAGTTTGCAGCCTTGCCGTACGCCTTTCCCAATCTTGAACCAGTCTGTTGTTCCGTGGTCAGTTCTTACTGTTGCTACTTGGTCCTTGTACAGATTCCTCAGGAGAGAGACAAGGTGGCTTGGGATGCCCATCCCACCAAGAACTTGCCACAATTTATTATGATCCACAGTCAAAGGCTTTAGAATAGTCAATGAAGCAGAAGTAGATGTTTTTCTGAAACTCCCTGCCTTTCTCCATTATCCAGCGGATATTGGCAATCTGGTCTCTCGTTCCTCTGCCTTTTCTAAACCCAGCTTGAACATCTGGCAACTCTCGCTCCATGTTGCTGGAGTCTTCCTTGCAGGATCTTGAGCATTACCTTACTGGCATGAGAAATAAGGGCCACTGTACGGAAGTTTGAGCAGTCTTTCGCATTTCCCTTTTTTGGTATGGGGATATAAGTTGATTTTTTCCAGTCTGATGGCCATGCCATTTGCTGTCAAGGTGATGCATGCCACATTTGCTGGCATATGGCATGCATCACCTTGACAGCATCATCTTTTAAGATTTTAAACAGTTCAGCTGGGATCTCGTCGTCTCCTGCTGCCTTGTTGTTAGCAATGCTTCTTAAGGCCCATTCAACCTCACTCCTCAGGATGCTCCTGCTGCCTTGTTGTTTGCAATGCTTCTTAAGGCCCATTCAACCTCACTCCTCAGGATGTCTGGTTCTAATTTGCTCACCACACCATCAAAACTATCCTCAATATTATTGTCCTTCCTATACAGATCTTCTGTATAGTCTCCACCTTCTCTTGATCTCTTCAGCTTCTGTTAGGTCCCTGCCATCTTTGTTTCTTATCATACCAATTTTTGCCTGAAAGTTTACCTCCAATGTTTCTAATTTTCTGGAAGAGGTCTCTTGTCCTTCCTATTCTGTTGTCTTCTTCAGCTTCCATGCATTGCTTATTTAAAAATAGTTCCTTATCTCTTCTGGCTAACCTCTGGAATTGCGCATTTAAATGGGCATATCTCCTTCACAATTGGAGCCCCCGGTGGCGCAGTGGGTTAAAGCACTGTGCCGGCAGGACTGAAGACCGACAGGTCGCAGGTTCGAATCCGGGGAGAGGCGGATGAGCTCCCTCTATTAGCTCCAGCTCCTCATGCGGGGACATGAGAGAAGCCTCCCACAAGGATGATAAAACATCAAAAATCATCCAGGCGTCCCCTGGGCAACGTCCTTGCAGACGGCCAATTCTCTCACAACAGGAGCGGTTGCTCCTGACACGACCAAAAAAAACCCCATATAATTCAGTTTCAAACTTAATTATATGACGGTGTAGATGTTGTTGTTTATTCGTTCCGTCGCTTCCGATTCTTTGTGATCTCATGGACCAGCCCATGCCAGAGCTCCCTGTCGGCCGTCACCTCCCCCAGCTCGTTCAGAGTGAATCCAGTCACTTCAAGGATCCACTGGGCAATGTCCTTGCAGACTGCCAATTCTCTCACACCAGAAGCAACTTGCAGTTTCTCAAGTCGCTCTTGACACACACACACACACAAAACCCCTAAACTTTAATGTATTCCAATTTAGTTCAGATAATGTATGCTGATGCTTTGAGTCCTCTTTGGGGGAGATAAAGTGGGGTATAAATATAATAATTCTGGCGATAGTTGGGATAGTTGTATATTTTAAATTGTATGCTGATGCTTTTATGTTAAACCCCTTTGAGTCTCCCTCAGGAGAGATAAAGCGGCGTATAAATAAATATAATAATAATATCCACCCTTCCATATAAGATACCACTTCTCAGAAATAAATCCAATAGTTGAAGTTTGTACCCATCATTGCTATAAAAATGATAAAGAACTCCCAATCTTTCTTGGAGTCAGTTAGGGATTTCTCCTTGATCAGCATTGTCAATTTGTCCAGTAGGTTATAACAAATCTGGCTTCCACATCTTATATATATATATCTTTCTTTGGCATCTTGGCACATCCTTGTCCTTAGTTTATAATTTATCTTATAAATATGTATGCAAACCAAGCCTTTAGATTAGAACCTGTGGAGCTGAAGCCCAAAATGCCTTGTGCAAGCCTGATGTAAACCAATGACCTGATTCTTCCTTTCTAGAGGCCGTGAAGCTCAAAGCTATCCTTGTAGCTTTGTGGCCACCTCCATTCTGTGTCAGTATGAATCATGGGCCCCAACTGATTGCTTTCACTCGTGCTCAGGAGGAATCGGATCTCTGGAGAGATGGACAAGTTCAGAAGAAAAGCAGCAGAGGCTGCTCTGTAGTTAACCAGGAGGAAGGGAGCACATCCGGAGAAGCGGTGCGCAGCTTCTATGAGAACATAGTGCTTCCCAATCATCCTGGAAGAAACACACACAGGAAACGGAAGGTGCCATGTATACACCGCAAGCCAGCAGTAGACACTCCTCATGTTCAGAGCAAAGAGACAGACTCCCGTCTAGGGAATCGGCTCCTGAAAGCTGCCCAGGATGGCAACCTGAGCTCTCTGCGAACCTTGGTAGAGAAAGAAGGCTGTGACATAAACTACCGAGACAGTTATTACTGGACAGCCATGATGTGTTCTGCTTATGCCGGTCACGAGGAAGCTGTCAAGTATCTTCTGAGTTGTGGGGCTGCCTGGGTGGGGGTCTGTGAGAGACAAGGTCGAGACGCAATGGATCTGGCTGAAGAAGCAGGCCACGAGAACATAGTAGATGTGCTACAGAAAACTGGAAGGCCCCAAGTGAAGGAGGAACCAACGAGGTGAGTGTCCATGGTTTAGTGTTACTCTCTAAAACAAGCATGGCTCTGGCTCTCTAGGTGTTTTGGATTTCAACTCCCACAATTCTTAACAGCTAGTAGGCTGTTAGGAGTTGTGGGAGTTGAAGTCCAAAACACCAGGAGGGACGAAGTTTTCTCATGCCTCCTCTAAAAGGAGAAATCTTCCAATTGCACTACCTTCCTCTGAAATACTACCTTGTCACAAGGCTATCTCTCCACTTGAATCTTCATGGAAACATTATGTGGAAACTTCTGGGATTTGTAATTTAGCCAAGCGCTCCTTGGCTAAGAATTCAAAATACTTCTCCCTAAACTACAAATTCCAGCATTCCATAGGATGTTACCATGGCAGTTAAAATGGAATAGCAGCACATGACAGTATAATATGCTAAAGCACTATACAGTCTACAGTATCTGATATTTGTTGGCAGTCTCCCACTTCAAGTACTAACTAACCAGAACTGACCCCTACTTAGCTTCAAAGAGCAGATTGAATCTGACGCCTTTAAGAGGCTTTAGGCCCTTTAAGCCCAAGAATAATCTTACAGTATAGATTATAGCCTGTCAGAGTTGCAATAATCATTGGTATGAGAGACCTCACAACCTCTGAGGATGCTTGCCATAGATGCAGTGAAACGTCAGGAGAGAATGCTTCTAGGACATGGCCATATAACCTGAAAAACCTACAACGACCCAATCATTGTTATGTTGTTATTTTCACTGATCAACTAGAACTGTATATACCAAGATGTTGCATTCATCTAGTCCAGTGGTTCTCAACCTGTGGGTCCCCAGATGTTTTGGCCTTCAACTCCCAGAAATCCCTAACAGCTGGTAAACATCTGGGGACCCCAGGTTGAGAACCACTGATCTAGTCATTTTGCTATTACAAGCCATGGTCTTTTTAATAGCCATCCAGTATTCCCTGCAAAGCCCAGGCCACCAAAAACCAAAATAATAAAATATTGTGGTTTTTCATTATAAGAGTCCTGCGAGAGTGATGACTTGGCAATAAAACAAGGTGCAGTAACTGTTCATCTTTGTTATAGCAATGGGTCTCTGCCACCTTTATCTATCAAATTATGACTCTAGGGATTTTGAGGAATTATCCACAAAGGTGTATCTTTTTATGTTCTGCGACATGTGAGAGTGGGTAGCAGTGCACAAGATGTGTATCATTTGCAGCTCCTACCAGACCACCGAATCCAATAACGTGGCAATCCAACAACTTCAGAAAGGACACAAGTTAACCTCTTATGCTTTGCTAGGAGCATTTTGGTTCAGGAAGATTGGTTAGAAAAGTGCTGTATTGGCATAGGCAACTAGGACAATATAATGGTTTCACGTTGTTTTAAGAAAGAGTTGGCTCTCTGCTTTTACGAGAGTTAGCGGAGCAAGATCCCTGCTGAAGTGGAAAAACAGCAATATAATTTCAAATCATAAACACTATTATTTCCTTGAGAGGAGACTTCCATGGGCATCTCTATCTTTTGATGTTTATTTTAATCTGTAAATAATCCAATCCGCAAGTGCAGAGCTTGCAAATGTGGAGAGAGTGTATCATGTTTTCATAAGGTAGTTTAGGAACCCCCAATGGCACAATGGCAGGATAGAAGGTTGGAGGTTTGAATCTGAGGAAAGTGCGGATAAGCTCCCTCTGTCAGCTCCAGCTTCCCATGCAGGGACATGACAGAATCCTCCCACAAGGATGGTAAAACATCCAGGCGTCCCCTGGGCAACATCCTTGCAGATGGCCAATTCTCTCACACCAGAAGCAACTTGCAGTTTCTCAAGTCGCTCCTGACACGAAAAAATAAAATAAAATAAGGAAGTTTGTTTAATAGTTATACCTTTTGTCATTACCTTTTTTAAAGATGTGTCTGATTTTAATTCATATCAATGCCTTGGATGATATATTTGGAGAAAGCTGGGATAGTAAGCAAATATACAAACAAATCAGGGTTAGGGAATGGAAATGGGAATAAGCAAATCCAGGTTCTAGTTTATCGTGAGTCATGACATTCACTGAATGGCCTTGGACCAGTCACTCTCTCTTGGTTTAATTTACTTCATATGATTGGTTTGAGCTCAATAAAGGCAGGGTATCAGTGTGACTAGCAAAAATATTCCTGGCTTGAGAAAACTCTATAGAATTCATAGGGTCAGTATAAAACAGCAGGACACACACGCACATAATACCATAACTGAAGTTTCAAGTAAAGGGATTGGCATGATTTTTTAGTAAAGTTTACACAGACAATCAGGCAGAGGGGGGAGCTGTTGTTCTTTCCTGCTTCGTCCCCACTTTTAACACCTTTCTCATTGAGGGACATGGTGAGAGCTGCTAGTGTTACCACTTGTTAGGCTGCATCCTGCTTTTCATCATTTAATTTGCCTTCTTCTTGCAGTCCCCAGGCACCACCTGAGAAAAAATACTGTGCCGTGTGCCAGGCCCACTACAGCGAAGACACGGTGGCTCTCCATGAGCGCTCCACTGCCCACATTTTCAATCGACGTGACCCACTGCCCCCCACACGCTACCACATCCCTGAGAACAACGTGGGCTACCAGCTGATGGTTAAAGGAGGCTGGGATCGAGAAACAGGTTTGGGGCCTGAGGGCGCTGGTCGCCGATTCCCCATCCAGACTGTGCTCAAGCGCAACCAGAGAGGCCTGGGTTTTGGCAGCGACCTCAAGCCCAAGGTGACCCACTTTGATGCCAATGATCCCAGTGCAGTTGAGACCAGGAAGGAACGGCCCAGGAAGGAACGGGCAGCGACTGTAGGGAAACGAGAGGCCCGGCGCCGGGAGGCAAAGGCAGTTGCCTGGGAACGCAACCTCCGCACTTACATGAACATTGACTTCTGAACTCTTCTTCTGCTACTTGGCTACATGTCAGCAAATTCCTTATTGGGAAAGAGTTCTAAAATAAAACTGTATTTGGAATACATTCTGTTTCTGGTC